GCTGCCATTCCTCCCCGAGTTGGATGGCTCTTCTAAAAAAAGTTAAGATATTCCTAGATCACCATAAGATTTTAATGATCTGTTGCCACTATCGACTAGATCCCAGCTTTCCTTTAAAAAAAGTATGTGGCCCTTTTCATTGTGCAGTAATCAAGGGAAATGTAGAACCTCATCTACATCTTTCCCTGCAACAAAAAGAACTAGACGCATAACTTTTTGAAAATGAAAGCTGGGGACTAGTAGATCGGGGGCACAGAGAATCATAACATTTTCTAGCAGTTCCCAGTTTTAACCCCCCCAAATGCTCTCTGGTATGGGGAGGAAATGGCAGCTGCGGGATTGAAGCAAGGAAAATGGTACCGATGGTGGCGCAGCTTGCAGAAATTCAGACCTTCCCGTGCACATGGCTTTGAAAGGCATTTTGAGAGTGATCTCTTTTGAGGAAAGGTTGTAGAAAAGTGAAGAGGGGATGGACAGAAACAGGGGGAATAGAAGACGGTGTCCTGTGGGCCCTCCATGAAACAGTGCTGCCGTCAGGAAGACAAGGTGGAGGAAAACATCCAGCGTGTCAAACATCCCTTGTCCTGCATTCCCACACAAATCTAGGACCTAGTTCAGGGATCCCCAACCTGGTGCCCATGGCTGACAAGGTGCCTGCCAAGTGGTTTTGGAAAGTGGGTGGGGCACTTGCCCATTAGGGCTTCTAATTGGCCATTGGATATTTGATTGGCGGAACACATGTTTAGAAACCTTGCTTTGGCAGCAGCTGCCACCATGACACAAGGATCTTCACTGTGAGACTGAAAGTCAGGAGGCTGTAGCAACAGTAGAAAGTAAAGAGCCAGTTTGGTGCAGTGGTTAGGAGCACGGGCTGTAATCTGGGAGAACCGGGTTTGATTTCCCCACTCCTCCATATGCAGCTGCTGGTGCAACCTTGGGTCAGTCACAAGTTCTCTCAGAGCTGCTCTCTCAGGAGCAGTCCTCGAAAGGGCTCTCTCAGCCCCACCTACCTCACAGGGTGTCTGTTGTGGGGAGGGGAAGGGAAAGGAGATTGTAAACCACTCTGAGACTCCTTCGGGTAGTGAAGGGTGGCGTATAAATCCAATCTATTCTTCTTCTCTGATTAATTTCTATATTGACATACTTCATTGGTGCCCATATATAAGGATTCCACAACAGACACAGACTTTTAGTGGAATGATTATCATCTTTAATTGTATATTACACATTTTGGAGAACACTCCTTACATTATTGTAAAATAATTGTTGGTCTCACTGAAGAGGATAATCGAAACGAGTGAGTCTGTACCCGGGGTCCTCGTGTTAATGACTCGTTGATGATTTCTCCCCCTGATCACTGGTTCTTCCTTGATGATGATATGCTGACTCTTCACTGATTGAAGCTCTTTCTTGAAGTTTCCACAATTTGGGACTTCTCTCGCCTTTAAAATTAGTTTACGTCTTTATGCTTTGCAAACCTGCACTTACCTGGACTTTGTAATTTATGCAGTCTTTAAAGTTTGATATATCCTTGCAATTAGTATTAGTATTTCATTATTCATTTAAATATTTAGCATCTTATTACAGTGAGGGGTTTTTTTTGGTACTTTTTGGTTCTGAAAGTAAGCGGCGACAGCCATTTTGTCACTGGCTCCGCCTCCTTTGGCGGCCATTTTGTGGCATCCTCGATCCCACTGTGTCAGAATTCCGAAGGTACCTCGAGGCTTAAAAAGGCTGGGGACTCCTGCCCTGGCTCCCTCCTCCTCCTCAATCCAGGTGCTGACTCGAGGGAGGAGAAATGCCGGTGCTTCATTTCGGAGGCTTCCTCCCCACAACTCAGAAACTGGCTTCGGGAGTCATACTGGGATAGGGAAACAGAAGCCAGTTTCTGGGTTGCGGGGAGGAAGCCTCCGAAATGAAGCGCCTGCCTCCGTGTACACAGCACTAAACTCACTTCTGGAACCATGTTTCCTGTCTTCAACAGGACGCCATCCGAGATGTCCACATTAAAGGTTTTATGTACAAGTGGATCATGCAGGATCTAGGTGAGTATCCATCTGCTGCGTTGTGGGAGGGTCGGAAGGTTGGAACAGGCATAGAAGATCAGTCCTCTAATGAGCCAGTTTGGTGTCGTGGTTAGGAACATGGACTCTAATCTGGGAGAACCGGGTCTGATTCCCCGCTCCTCCACATGCAGCTGCTGGAATGACTTTAGGTCAGTCACAAGTTCTTTCAGAGCTGTTCTCTCAAGGACAGCCCTTGAGAGAGCTCTCTCAGCCTCACCTACCTCACAGGGTGTCTGTTGTGGGGAGGGAAAGGGAAAGGAGACTGTAAGCCGCTCTGAGGCTCCTTCGGGGAGTGAAGGGCGGGGTATAAATCCTATCTCTTCTCTTCTTCTTGAGAGCCAGTTTGGTGTCGTGGTTAAGAGTGCAGACTCTAATCTGGGAGAACCGGGTTTGATTCCCCACTCCTCCACGTGCAGCTGCTGGAGTGACTTTGTGTCAGTCACAAGTTCTCTCTGAGCTGTTCTTTCGAGGGCAGTCCACGAAAGAGCTCTCTCAGCCCCACCTGCCTCACAGGGCGTCTGTTCTGGGGAGGAGAAAGCAAAGGAGATTGTAAGCCGCTCTTCGGGGAGTGACGGGCGGGGTATAAATCCCACATCTTCATTTTCTTCTTCATGCCCGTCGGTTTTTCTTTTGGCTGCAGAGAAGTACATTCTGCGCGGAGACGAGACTTACGCTGTGCTCCACCGCCTGGCCAGCAGCGGCAAGAAACTCTTCCTGATCACCAACAGCCCTTTCAGCTTCGTGTGAGTCCATTTTCATATTTCTGTCCCATGGACAGAGCCTCTCAGTGGTCAAGAGAGGCCCCGGGCCAATTCTGTGTTTTGAGGCTCCTGGTATATTAAAAAAAGATGAGGAAATAGCAGTAACGGGGCGCAAGTTGAGAGCAGTGTTCCCTCTAAGCTGAGTTAGCGTGAGCTAGCTCACAGTCTTTTAGCCTCCATCTCACACACTTTTAACTCAGGGAGGAGGGCTCCAGAGCAAATCGATTTCTGCAGTGGCCAAATCGCTCGCTCGCGACTTTGATGCCAGTAGCTCACAAATTAGAATTTTTGCTCACAGGACTCCGCAGCTTAGAGGGAGCATTCTGTCCGTGTATCTCTGCAACTGAGTGCTTAATCTCGTTTGTATGCAGAACCTCATTTGGAGAAAAGAGCAAGAGTTCAGTAGCACTCAGAAGTCTAAATTTGGGGACCAGGCCAAATGGTCCCCACCCCCGCTGGTGATAGAAGAAGAAAAAGGCTAGGTTTTTATACCCCACTTTTCTCTACCCTGAGAACATAAGAGAAGCCCTGTTGGATCAGGCCATGGCCCATCCAGTCCAGCACTCTGTGTCACACAGTGCCCAAAACCCAGGGGCCATCAGGAGGTCCACCAGCGGGGCCACAACTCCAGAAGCCCTCCCACTCTTGCCCCCCCCCAAGCACCAAGAAGACAGAGCATCACTGTCCCCAGACATAAGAACATAAGGGAAGCCATGTTGGAGCAGGGCAACGGCCCATCCAGTCCAACACTCTGTGTCCCACAGCGGCCAAAACCCAGGGGCCATCAGGAGGTCCACCAGCGGGGCCAGAACTCAAGAAGCCCCCCCACTCTTCCCCCCCCAAGCACCAAGAAGACAGAGCATCACTGCTCCATACATAAGAACATAAGGGAAGCTACGTTGGATCAGGGCAGTGGCCCATCCAGTCCAACACTCTGTGTCACACAGTGGCCAAAACCCAGGGGCCATCAGGAGGTCCACCAGTGGGGCTAGAACGCCAGAAGCTCTCCCACTGTTGCCCCCCAAACACCAAGAAGACAGAGCATCATTGCTCTATACATAAGAACGTAAGAGAAGCCCTGCTGGATCAGGCCAATGGCCCATCCAGTCCAACATTCTGTGTCACACAGTGGCCAAAACCCAGGGGCCATCAGGAGGTCCACCAGCGGGGCTAGAACTCCAGGAGCCCTCCCACTGTTGCCCCCCTCAAGCACCAAGAATACAGAGCATAGCCTAAGCAGTCTCAAAGTGGCTTACAATTGCCTTCCTCTCTCTACAACTTCAGTGGGGCTAAGAGAATCCTGGGAGAACTGTGACTTGCCCAAGGTCACTCAGCAGGTTTCACGTGGAGGAGTGGGGAATCAACCCCGGCTCTCCAGATTAGAGTCCGCCAGTCTTAACCACTACACCAAGATAATGGGCCCTTCCCAAGGCCGCACAATATGCCGGCATTATACTTTTAAGGACAACAGCGGTTTTGTTCAAATGTTGATCTTGCGTCACGAGGCGGCCGTTGCATTATTTCCTGCCCTCTCCTCCCACAAGCCCCAGTCTGTTAGAAGAAGTTCTGACGAAGGTTCACCATAGCCTTTGAGTGTTGGTTTATTGTTTCCCCTCCGCCGCCCCCCAGGCATTTCAGACTTTTGCATTAAACCTTACGGAGTAGAAAGTCGCAAATAAAACCAGCTACGCTGAACTCCAGTCAACAGAAGTGTAGTCAATAAAACGGCTAGTCTTGAAGGTCCTGCAGTCTGTAAGGGGCGGGAGGGAGGAATGTCTTTCCTGATGGCCCCTGGATTTTGGCTGCTGTGTGACACGGAGTGTTGGACTGGATGGGCCATTGGCCTGATCCAACATGGCTTCTCTTACGTTCTTATGTCTGGGACAGTGATGCTTTGTATTCTTGGGGCTTGTGGGGCAACAGTGGGAGGGCTTCTGGAGTTCTGGCCCCACTGGTGGACCGCCTGATGGCCCCTATATGCAAAATATTGGAAACAAATGGAAGCACCAAAGAAGCAAGAGTATGTGAATAAACTGTTGGAGACGGCGGAAAACGATAAACTGTCATAGTTGATGAGAGGGACAACAGACCCAGCATTTCAAAAGACGTGGAAAAAACTGTATGACTGGTACAATAGTTTAGTTAAAATAGCATAGTTTAAAGTAACGAAATGTTTGGTAGGATTCATTTCTTTTAGTTAAATAGAAACTATGGTAAAAAGATAGGAGTACACAGAAACTTAAGCAAACCCAAAGAAATTTTTTAATATTGTAATAGAGTTATAATAAAATATACTGATCTCATTGTATGCTTTATGTTTGTAAGTGGTTGTTTGTGATGTGTTGTATGTATGTTGGTTGTGTATAATCTGAAAATAATAAAAGTGTACCTAACGGGTACTTAAAAAAAAGAAAGAAAGGCGTCAGGGTGAAGAAGTACAATGCAAAATTGAATCAGCTTGGTTAATGCAAGGGGGAAAATGCTTTGGGGCAAAAAATTGGCACCTGTCCTGAATCTGTTGGATTCTTGCCTCACTACTACGGCTGAAAGTTCATACCCTGCCCCCAGTTTTTTTGTTGGCCTCCAAGGTACCGTTGGAATCGAATCTAGATTCTAGTCAGACATACCATCCTGGGTCACTCTGAAATGGGAGAGGGATAGATGAAGACAACTTGGATAGGCAGGTGTCCTTTGGTTGGCTAATAAAGGCGAGTTTATTTTAATATATTTTGAAATGGCTCGGCAGCACCAGTCCCTTAGCTGCGGGAGCCAAATGGAGCAGAGACGTTCCCGTGATCTCTGTTCCCAGAACCCACAGATCTTTGGCAGCAGAGCGCCCTCTACTGTCGGCTGTCAGTAACATCCTCTTCCCCGCCATTTTCTCTCTCTTTTTTCCCTTCTCCTCCCCAGGGACAAAGGGATGCGGTACATGGTGGGGAAGGACTGGCGCGACTTCTTTGACGTGGTCATCGTCCAAGCAGACAAGCCTCATTTCTTCAACGATTGTGTCAAGTGAGTATAAACCCCACTGTGCTGTCTGTCAGGTCCCTGGTTAAATCGATTCTCAACACCAGCCAGTTTGTAGGAAGCTAACTTTATTGAGACAGTTGATAGATACCATCCTGGACACATCTATTGTTAGGACTGAAGGTAAACGCACGAAGGTTGTAGATATAGTGGATTCAAGTAAAGGCAGTAAAGATTAGGACCAGTGTTCCCTCTAAGCTGAGTTAGTGTGAGCTAGCTCACAGGTTTTTAGCCTCCGGCTCACACCTTTTTGTCTTCGTTCAGGAAGGCGAGTTCAGGAAGTGGCTCCAGAGCAAACTCATTTATGTAGTAGCCAAATTCCTCGCTCATGACTTTAATGCCAGTAGCTCACAGAGTAGAATTTTTGCTCACAAGACTCCACAGCTTAGAGGGAACATTGATCAGGACCCAATTATCCCACGGTATTTGCCCGCCAGAACTAACCGGCAGCATTCCCCCCCCCCTAGATACGTAGCCTTTACCTAGTAAGGAAAACAGGATCACAGACATTTGAGAAGCCAGGACATTTGGCCTCACTAGGGTGACAAGCCCTGGGTATATCAAAGAGAGCAATAGAGAAGAAGAAGAGATTGGATTTCTACCCCGCCCTTCACTACCCAAAGGAGTCTCAGAGCGGCTTGCAAACTTTTTTCCCTTCCCCTCCCCACAACAGACACCCTGTGAGGTAGGTGGGGCTGAGAGAGCTCTTGACAGAAACGGCTCTTTTTCAAGGACAGCTCTTATCAGAACTACGGCTTGCCCAAGGTCATCCAGCCAGGTGCAAGTGGAGGAGTGGGGGATCAAACCCGGTTCTCCCAGATTAGAGTCCGCACACTTAACAACGACACCAAACTGGCTAGAGGAGCCTCCTCTCCCAATGACAGGCGAGCTGTAAAATGCAAAATGCACAGGGAGTCTGACACTGTCTCATTTCTGGGCCAAAGGCAGAGAAATCGTGGAATGATTCTCCATTTCTGGGACGACGCAGTACATTTATAAATTCTATGTTACTTCTTGCTTATTCTGATCTTGCTTTTTGTCTGCTTTCCCCTTCCGCCCTGCAACTTGCTGACCTTCAGACACCGAGTGTTCAGGCAGGGGGTGTTGTAGATTCCCCCATGCAGTTGTTAACATTATTTAACCACTATATAAACCTGGATCGCCTGGGATAGCCAAATCTTGTCAACTCTTAGACATTTGGCATATCCCTAGTAATGGTTATTGGCCTCCTCCTCGGTTCTGGTGACGCCATGTTTATGCATTTTATGGAATTATTTTATTGTTTTAAATATTGTTTATAATTGTTCAGATCATAGAATGTGAGCTGCCTCGTTCTCCGTTCCGTGGCTCCCCCCCGGCATCTGATCGTGCCGGGGAGCAACTGCGCGGTGGCTCGGGGGATCTGTCTGATCTTGCCGCCACGCGTCTCTTTTGGTGTGGCTCAAAAAAGCCGTGCTTTGGCCGTGCCTTTCCCCCCATGTGACCGGGGCCCTCCTTTCACAAAACTCGTCTCTTTCTGTTCTCAGACCTTTCCGGCGACTGGACAGCAATGGTGACCTTCAGTGGGATAAAATCAAGAAGTTGGAAAAGGGGCAGGTGTACAAGCAGGTGAGGAAACGAACTGCGGAGGAATGTACGGTGATGGGGGAGCTCAGAGGACAGGGGAAAGCCAAGTTACTGTGCAAGACTTCACCGTCCACCCCTTTTCATTGTGGCCTTCACGCAGTAATAAGACATAAAGCAGGAAATGGCCGCCGGCTGTGGCGTGAGCCGAATAGAGATCCCTCTTTTTTCCCTCCTTTCTGTCAGTGTTTCTTGAGAGACTTTGGCAGGAAGAAAACCGTGAGGGAATTAGGAGTTGAACCTCCTCTTACAGATCGGTTCCGAATGTGGCCTACATTTAGGTAGTCAGGAAGGAAGGGTGGGGTGTATACGTCCCCATTGTGAGGTGATAGGGTGGTGCTTAAAGTGCTGGACTAGGATCTGGGAGATCCAGGTTCGAATCCCCACTCTGCCGCGGGCGACCGTGGGCCAGTCACACACTCTCAGCCTCACCTACCTCAGAGTGTTGTTGTGAGGAAAAAATGGAAAATCCCCACTCTGCCGCGGGTGACTGTAGGCCAGTCACACTCACAGCCTCGCCTACCTCACAGGATTCTTGTGAGGAAAAAATTGAGGAATCCCCACTCTGCCGCAGGTGACCGTGGCCAGTCACCTAGTCTCACCTACCTCACAGGATTGTTGTGAGGAAAAAATGGAGGAATCCCCACTCTGCCGTGGGTGACCGTGGGCCAGTCACACTCTCAGCCTCACCTACCTCACAGGATTGTCATGAGGGTAAAACGGAGGGGAGGGAAAATGAGGTAAGCTCCTTTGGGTCCCCGTTGGAGGGAAAGGCGGAGTAGAAAATGAAGTAAATAAATAAATAATGTCTGGCTAGGGCTCAGGAGAACTGGGCTTGGACCCCTGCTGGCTTAGCCCTGGATAGGGTTGCCTGTCTCCAGGTGGATAAATCTATCAAAAACTAGACAGGCTTTGGTGTAATTACAATAGGAAAAATAGGGCACACCAAAGAAAGTTACTCTTCTGTATCTTTAACACACTTAGTTGTATTATTATACCATAAGAACGTAAGAGACGCCAATGTGGGATCAGGCCAAAGGCCCATCCAGTCCAACACTCTGTGTCACACAGTGGCCAGAAATACCAGGTGCCCTCAGGAGGTCCAGCAGTGGGGCCAGGACACTGGAAGCCCTCCTGCTGTTGCCCTCCCCCCAAGCACCAAGAAGACAGAGCATCACTTGCCCCAGAGCCCCTCTCTATACCTTGTGGCTAATAGCCACTGATGGACCTCTGCTCCATATGCTTATCTAATTCCCTTTTGAAGCCGTCCATGCTTGTAACCAAATTTCCTTATAACAAATTTCCAGTATTAACTAGCATTCATTCATTATATATGAAGTACATTTCATGAACATAAGCAAAGCCAGTAAATGATAATATGAGTACAATACAAAACAATACAAAATCTTGACGTAGTTATTCTTGGTGTTGTTTTGGCTGAGCTCCTGGAATGTTTACCTCCCGACGGAGCTGTAAAGTATGCAAAGCAAAGAGAAATCCTCGTTATACGAGTTCCCGAACAGTGTTTATCACTCTTCATTTGAAAACATGCCGTTCCAAGGAATGTAAGAGATAAAGAGAACACGCTTCCCTAGGATTAAACAGCGGCTTCATATGTCTTTTTCAACTCTATCTCTCAGTTGGTGTTTGTCACCAATCCCTTGCCGTAGCACAAGCAGGAATCGACGCAACCTCTCTCTAATGTCTTCCCAAAGCCGATCAGTTCACCAGAGATCAGTTCACCAGGAGAAGATGGCTGCTTTGGAAGGCGGACTCTGTGGCATTAGACCCCGCTGGGGTCCCTCCCCTCAACAAACCCCTCCCTCTTCAGGCTCCACCCCCCAAATCTCCCAACCCGGAGCACTCAACGCTAGCCATGAATCTTGCCGGGTGACCCTGAGCTAAAGGCATCAGCCTGACCAGCCTCACAGGATTCTTGGCGGGAGCGGAAGGAAACAAAGCTAGCCCCCCAGCCCCCCACCCCCCGTAGGGCTCACCACATCCTGACATTTGAACACTGGCTCCTTCTCTTTCCTGAATATCAACAAACGGTAGACCCAAGTCGTCACTACTATGCAGAGGGAGAGGGAACATCAGAAGCGCCCGTTGCAAATCTTCCCAGAAAGAAATTCCAGATAAAATTTAATTTTTTTGTCATCAAGTCAAGCGGACTCCTGGCGACCCTAGTGGAGCTCGAAGGCAAGGAACGTTCAGAGGAGGTTTGCCTCTGCATCCCGGCCCTGGTATTCCTTGGAGCTCGCCCTTCCAAGTACTTGCCGGGGCCGGCCCTGCTTAGCTTCCGAGATCTGACAAGATCAGGCTTTCTCGAGCGGTCCAGCTCAGGTTTTAAGAAATTCCAGATCTTTGAGGGAGGGATTCATTTCCCCCTTTAAATTAAAATAAAACTTCATCTGTTTTTGGCTTAGAGTTTGTTTTTTGTTTTTAATTAAAGTACACGAATCAGGCAGAAAACAAAACGACTGATCGATTCTGCTTCATTCGTACCCTGCCTTTCTCCCCACGGAACCAGTAAAACAGTAAATCACCGTGTACAAATAAACAATATAAGTTGATTTTCATCTGCAATGTTTTAGAATTCAATTATCAACAAAATTACAACCATAACACTATAATATGCAATATAAAGCTTAGCAGTACATATAGAATACTACAGTACTAGTTTTAGACAAACGACGGAGTTCTGGTACACTGTCCGTTTGCGAGTCCTTCTTCAGGTTTGTCATTCTGTACTTATATCTTCATTAGAATGAAGTGCTGCAAGCCATATTTCAAAATGTTAATTCTTATACAATTTTTTGATGTACGCTACCGCGCTTATTCTGGTGACTGGGGAGCTCCTATAGCAAGCTCTAATGTGACAGGGTCTACAGTATATAATAATTGGCTAAGCTTCCCTCAGACTGAGCCAATTATTATATACTGTAGACCAGGGGTCATTTCGTAGTAAAAGAGCTAGGGGGACTCATTAGCATAACTCATTAGCATATGCCACACCCCCTGACATCACCGGAAGTGTGTCCTCCCCACAGCCGGCACCAGCAGGGAGCTCCAGGCCCCGCCCTCCCACACCTCACCCGGGGGGATGGCGTCCCCCCGCGTCCCCCCCCCAAATGACCCCTGTGGTAGACCCTGTCACATTAGTACAGAATGACAAACCTGAAGAAGGACTCGCAAATGGACAGTGTACTAGAACTCCGTCGTTTGTCTAAAACTAGTACTGTAGTATTCTATATGTACTGCTAAGCTTTATGTTGCATATTATAGTGTTATGGTTGTAATTTTGTTGATAATTGAATTCTAAGACATTGCAGATAAAAATCAACTTATATTGTTTATTTGTACACGGTGATTTACTGTTTTTCTGGTTATATTACACCGTGGTCCTGTTTGTTGTAATAATGTCTCTTCACGGAGGCTTACAGTTTTATTTATTTATTTATTTATTTTTCAAATTTGTGCCACGGCCGGCTCAGGGCGGCTTACATAAGATCACAAAAAACATGTAAAATAGTAGAATGAAACCATTTAGAACAATATTAAAGCCGATTCACAATTCCAAAATAAGTGCTAGTTTTTGCTGTTCTTGAGTTCGTGATGGCTACCATCCTCTCTCCCCATAGCCGGCTTGCAGGTCTTCTGGAGATGTCTTTCAGGCGGCTGGCACAGGCTGTAGATATAAATCCCAGAGGCAACAGGGCTTCTTATCCTAGTGGTTGGAGGTGGCGGCAGCTCCAGAGGCCTGGCGGAAGAGCTCTGTTTTACAGGCCGTGCGGAACTGTAAGCGGCTCAGCAGGGCTCTGATCTCCTCTGGGAGCTCATTCCACCAGGAGGGGGCCGCCACCAAGAAGGCCCACGCCCTGGTTGTCACCAGCCTGGCCTCCTTGAGACTCGGGAGGGCCAGTCGGTTCTGGGCCCCTGAACGCAGTGCTTTCTGGGAACCATGTGGGGAAAGGCGGCCCCTCAGGCATGTAGGTCCCTGACCATAAAGGGTCTCGTCTTTTCCATTTTATTCTTGTGACAACCCTGTGAGGTAGGTTAGGCCGAGAGGCTGTGCCTGGCCCAAGGTCGCCCAGCAGAGTGGGGGATTCGAACCTGGAGCCTCCCAGATTCTCACCCGACATTCTAACTGCTGTACCACACTGGCTCTATCTGGACTGCCACTCCTCGCAGAGACCTTCCACGGCCATCCACCACAATTCTGAACCTCGAGGGTCTTCAAAATGTCTAGCTCCTTCAGAGAGACACTTCTGGAATTTTATCCCTCTTCATAATTACAGACCTAATTCCTGGTTTCCTGTCAGGCACCTGATATCTGGCCTCGGTGAGTCGAGAAGCCTAGATCAGGGGTCCCCAACCTATCTGAGCTTTGTAACTCAGACACAGTGTGGTGGGCAGAGCCAGCCACAAAATGGCTGCCACAAACGGCGCTGCTAGCCACAAAATGGCAGCCACTGCTTCCCTTCACTCACACAGTGAAGACCCTTGTGCTGTGGTGGCGGCTGCTGCTAAAGCAGTATGTTTCAAAATCGGCACAGCCAATCAAATCTCCAACGGCCAACCAGAGGCCTTGCTGGGCAAAAGCCCCACCTGGCCCCACCCACTTAAAAAAAAAAACACTTGGGAGGCACCAGGAAAGATGTTGGCGGTTGCTGTGGTGCCCATGGGCACCATGTTGGGGACCCCTAGCTTAGAACAAGGAAGAGCAAAGGGTACTGTCTGAGAGGGAACTAAACAGCCCCTCAACGTATTTAGTGAGGACTTGTCTAGACAGAGGGAGTGCAGCAGAGGCCTTGGGATTATATACCCGGTAGTGGCGTGGGATTGGCTCTCTGGGGTCATGTGACACCTTCCGCAAAGAAGACTTGGCTTTTAGTTCTGCCACCACCCCAGCAGAGGGATGAGAGTTTAATCCATGGCTTCTTTTTCCATCCTAAATTCCTTCACGGCCAATGTATGCCCATCTTTGTGCCTACAGAACCCTCTTTAATGTCGATCCTTTTCCCTGCACTAGGGCAACCTTTTTGACTTCCTCCGACTGACGGGCTGGCGTGGCTCCAAGGTCCTGTACTTCGGAGACCATCTCTACAGTGATCTGGCGGTGAGAACCCAGGGCTGCTTTCCTCTGGGTCATGAGTGGGCATGCGGACAGAGGGGAGGGGGGTGGGATCGGGGAGCTTGGGGCCTTTTCGGATCTCTCCTTAACTCTGGAGATGGTTCTGTGGGATGGGATTCTCGTTGCCAGTTCTGGGTTGGGGGGGGATCCCTTGGGACTTGGGGGTGGAGCCTGTGGAGGGTGGGGTTTGGAGAGGGGAGGGGCCTCGTTGGGGCCCGTTCTCCAGAGCATCCATTTTCTCCAGTGGGGTTGATCTTTGTCATCTGGAGACGAGATGTAACACCTGGACATTATACAAAAACTGAGGGTCACAGTGTTAGGAAGATATGGAGAAGAAGAGGAGGAGATTGGATTTATACCCCGCCTTTCATTACCCAAAGGAGCCTCAGAGCGGCTCACAAACTCCTCTCCCTTCCCCTCCCCACAACAGACACCCTGTGAGGTAAAAGAATCAGAAGAAGAGATTGGATTTATACCCCCCGCCCTTCACTACCCAAAGGAGCCTCAGAGCGGCTGACAAACTCCTTTCCCTTCCCCTCCCCACAACAGATACCCTGTGAGGTAAAAGAAGAAGAAGAAGAGATTGGATTTATACCCCGCCCTTCACTACCCAAAGGAGTCTCAGAGCGGCTGACAAACTCCTTTCCCTTCCCCTCCCCACAACAGACACCCTGGGAGGTAAAAGAAGAAGAAGAGACTGGATTTATACCCCCCGCCCTTCACTACCCAAAGGAGTCTCAGAGCGGCTTACAAACTCCTTTCCCTTCCCCTCCCCACAACAGACACCCTGTGAGGTAAAAGAAGAAGAAGAAGAGATTGGATTTATACCCCCCACCCTTCACTACCCAAAGGAGTCTCAGAGCAGCTCACAAACTCCTTTCCCTTCCCCTCCCCACAACAGACACCCTGTGAGGTAAAAGAAGAAGAAGAAGAGATTGGATTTATACCCCGCCCTTCACTACCCAAAGGAGTCTCAGAGCGGCTCACAAACTCCTTTCACTTCCCCTCCCCACAACAGACACCCTGTGAGGTAGGTGGGGCTGAGAGAGCTCTGACAGAAACTGCTCTTTTTTTCAAGGACAGCTCTGCCAGAATTATGGCTTGTCCAAGGTCATCCAGCAGCTGCAATTGGAGGATTGGGGAATCAGACCCAGTTCTCCCAGATTAGAGTCCGCGCACTCTTAACTACTACACCAAACTAAAAAAATATATGAAACCGCGTATAATAGATGTATGCTTAAGGTAGATCTATTTTCTGCTTTTTCTTTTTAAGATTTTTCTATACTGTTATAAAATATTGGTGCCAAGTATTACCAGACATAGGTTTCACCAAAACAGTACATCAAAAGTGCAGGTTTACACTCTGTTCAAACGCTTTCCAAAGAGAAATAAAAAGCACCAGATAGATCTGCCTTAGGCATACATCTATTATACGCAGCGTCATACACTTTTCCGTACCCACCTGGAGATTGGCAACCCTGGTCGGGGTGGAAATAAGAGGCTGTGAACCTTCTCATGCTTTTTCCTCCCTCCCCAGGACCTCATGTTGCGCCACGGCTGGCGGACGGGGGCCATCGTTCCCGAGCTGGAGATGGAGACCAAAGTGGTGAACACCGAACAGTATTCGCAAGCACTCACCTGGATGCAGGCCTTAACAGGGTTGTTGGAACGCATGCAGGTAGGGGAGACGGAGCAAGAGGGCAGCCATCTCACTGCGAATATGATGGGGGGGAGGGCCCCCCAAGGGATTGTGGGGCAGGGGATGTTCCGAAACAGCACTGCAAACAAATGCCCTAAAAGCCAGTCAGCTAGGGTCAAAAGCCTCCAGGTAGCGCCTGGAGATCTCCAGGAACTACAAGAAGAAGAAGAAGAAGAGGAGGAGATGGGATGTATACCCCGCCCTTCACTCCCCGGAGGAGTCTCAGAGCGGCTTACAACCTCCTTCCCCTCCCCACAGCAGACACCCAGTGAGGTAGGTGGGGCTGAGAGAGCTCTTTCGAGGACTGCTCCTGAGAGAACAGCTCTGAGAGAACTTGTGGCTGACCCAGGGTCACACCAGCAGCTGCAGGTGGAGGAGAGGGGAATCGAACCCGATTCTCCCGGATTAGAGTCCGCACTCCTAACCACTACACCAAACTGGCTCTCTAGCCTACAGAAATCAATTCCCTGGAGAAAATGGCTGCTTTGGAGGGTGGACTTTATGACATTACACTCCTCTGGGGTCCCTCCCCAAACCCTGCCCTCCCCAGGCCCCACCCCCAAATCTCCAGGAATGTCCAAACCTGCTAATGGCAACTCTGGAAGTCAATACGGAGACGTTCTGGTGTTGCCTGCACAAAAGGTCAGGTTCCTTATTTAGGTATTTATTTATTTTATTAAACTTACGAAGCACCCACCCTGCAAGAAGGTTCCGGGTGATTTACAACCTTAAAAACAATTAAGATACAATCACTACAGATTGAATATACAACAGTAGATCCATAAATTAAACCAATCCAGGATGGCGATGTAATAATTCCTAGCACAATATTGTTGTCATATTCTTTCTTTGGATAACGTAGTCTCAAATTTATGTATCATAATCAGTATAGTAATACAGGGCACAAGTCATAGCAGCAAATGCTTCCAAATGTTAGAATGTGCCCTGTATTACTATATTGATGACTGTGTGCGGCTAGTATAAGAGATTATGATATGTAAGTTTGAGACTACGTTATCCAAAGAAAGAATATGGCAACAGTGGCCCCAGTCACATGGGCCAGATAACGCGGGGGGGAGCGTGGCTGTTTGCCCCAGAGCAAAATAAAGCGCTGTAGCCCGATCACACGGTCCCTCAAGTCTCCGGCGCTTAGGCAGTTAGCTGGCAATCACACGGCGATGCTGGAGCGTGGCAAAGAAGCGGCGCGGCAAGCGTTTCGCGTTTGTGCGCATGCGCCGTTCTGTGGAGCAGCACTGCTTTCAGTTATGTGTTTGTGCGCATGTGCTTACGAAAAACATCTGGTTTGCGACGGGATGTGGACGGGCGCCGGATGCCACGGGATACTAGTGCTCCCGCAATCAGACGCCCGCCCCTGCTCTGCGTTTTCCGGATACTCGTGCACTTTCCGCAGTACTTTTTTACTGCGTAACTTTGGCGGGACGCCACGGGTTGGCCATGGGTGTGCTACACTTCCCAGATGTTGCGGTGTGATCACACCCCAAAAATCCGCCTGACATTCGTGCCTTTAGCGCGGCAAATCCTCTGTGTGACCGAGGCCAATATTGTGCTAGGAATATTTACTTCTGAGGAAGTCGGAATTACGAAATGAAGAGAAAATCCAGACCCTTCGTTAATTAATTGTTTAAAAAGGTAAAGGTAAAGGTTTCCCTTGCTCGAAAGCCATTCGAGTCCGACTCTAGGGTTGCGGTGCTCATCTCCGTTTCAAAGCCGAAGAGCCAGCGCTGTCCGAAGATGTTTCCGTGGCCATGTGGCCGGCGTGACTAGACACCAAGGCGCACGGAATGCTGTTACCTTCCCACCAAAGTGGTACCTATTTATCTACTTGCAATTTCTTGCTTTCGAACTGCTAGGTTGGCAAGAGCTGGAACTAGAGACGGGAGCTCACTCCGTCATGCGGCAACTCAGGTCTCGAACTGCTGAACTACTGACTTTCCACAGCCTGCAGTTCAGCGTCTTAATCACTTGAGCCACCGCAACTCCTAATTAATTGTTTACTTACCTGCACTTATATATTTACTTGATTTTGCCTAACTGCACTTAAGGAATTCTGTATGTACTTTATCTTTGCCCTTTGTATTAAAATAAGATAGTTGTTAATATTGGCACTCTATGTGATATAGCGTCTTCCTAGCTTTTTTTGTTTACTTTGATACTGTTGCTACCAGCTGGGAGGTCTCTTGTGTATTGATGTAATAATCCCCCCCTTGCCGGCCACGCCACTGTCTCGCGCCGCAGGGGAGGGAAGGGCACGGGGAGGAGAGAAAAAAGAAAGGGTGCCGAAATTGGGCTTAACTGCTCGGAGATGCCTGTCTAACCAGCCGCTTGGGTCCTTTAATTTTTTTAACGAGTTTTATTAAGATTCTTTTAAAACAAAAAGATAAAAACTAACCAAAAAAACCCTATTACAGAGTACACAATCAACAAAACAAGAATATACAAACTACAGGTGTGTGTGGGGGGGAAAGGGTTAAAAAGCTTTGTTCCTTTTACAGATGTACCAGGACCCAGAGTCCCAGCAGGTGCTGCAGGACTGGATGAAGGAACGGCAGGAACTCAGGTAGCGCGTTTCGGCTTCTCCCTCCGTCTTCTCTTCCCAAGTTCTGCTGCCTTGAATCCAGGCCGGCTCTTTTTGTAGCAGGAACTCCTTTGCGTATTAGGCGACACACCCCTAATGTAGCCAATCCTCCAAGAGCTTACAGGGCTCTTCTCACAGGGGCTACTGTAAACTCTTGGAGGATTGGCTACATTAGGGGTGTGTCGCCTAATATGCAAAGGAGTTCCTGCTACAGAAAGAGCCCTGCGTTGCCCGGTCACCTTGTGGAAGGCAGGAGTTGCCTGCAAGACAGTGACAGGCAAGAAAGCTTCTGTAGTGTTTGTCAGGACAGAGAAAAAGGAAGTACTTTTGCATATGGCACGTAGCTAAATCACAGAACTCGCTGCCGCAGGATGTGGTGATGGCTGGAAAGCTTTAAAGGGGGAGGGGACAAATTCGTGGAGGGAGGGGACAAATTAGCCACCTGGCTATCAGTGGCTACCAGTCAGGACAGATATCTGCTCCCTCCAATACCGGAGGCAGTTCCTCTTTAAGTCAGTTGCTGGGGAGCACCGGGGGGGACGGGGACGCTGTTGCTGTCATCCGGCTCTTCGGCTTCCTAGAGGCAGCTATTCGGCTGCTGTGTGAGCAGCATGCTGGACACGATGGCATTCTGGTCCGATCCATCAGGGCTCTTCTCGGGTTCATATGTTTGTGAGCCAGTTTGGTGTAGTGGTTAAGTGCGCGGACTCTAATCTGGGAGAACCGGGTTTGATTCCCCACTCCTCCACTTGCATCTGGCTGGACGACCTTGGGCAAGCCGTATTTCTGATAAGAGCTGTTCTTGAAAAAGAGCAGTTTCTGTCAAGAGTTCTCTCAGCCCCACCTCCCTCACAGGGTGTCTGTTGTGGGGAGGGGAAGAGAAAGGAGTTTGTAAGCCGCTCTGAGACACCTTTGGGTAGTGAAGGGCGGGGCATAAATTCAATCTCTTCTTCTCTTCTTCTGTGTGAGTTTGGGGGTGGGGTATTTCAGGCCATAAACATGTTGCTTCATAAGGACATCAGAAGAGCCCCACTGGGTCAGACCAGTGAGGGTCCATCTAGCCCAGCATCCTGTCCCACACAGGGGCCAACCAGTTCCTCTGGAGGGTCAACCACAGGGCATAGAGGCCAAGGCCTTCCCCTTATAAGAACACCAGAAGAGCCCTGCTGGGTCAGACCAGGGAGGGTCCCTCTAGTCCAGCCTCGCGTCTCACACAGGGGCCAGCCAGTTCCTCTGGAGGGCCAGCAACAGGGCAGAGAGGCCGAGGCCTTCCCCTGAGAAGGACACCAGAAGAGCCCTGCTGGGTCAGACCAGGGAGGGTCCCTCTAGTCCAGCCTCCCGTCTCACACAGGGGCCAGCCAGTTCCTCTGGAGGGCCAACAACAGGGCATAGAGGCCGAGGCCTTCCCCTGTTGTTGCCTCCTAGCTCTGAGATTCAGAGTTTTACTGCCGCTGAAGGTGGAGGTTCCCCTCAGTCACCACGGCTAGTAGCCATTGACAGACTTCTCCTCCATGAATCTACCCAATCCCCTTTTCAAGCAGTTTATTACCGTGGCCATCACGACATCCCCCGGCAGCGAATTCCACATTGTAATCACTCTCTGTGTAAAGTAGCATTTCCTTTTGCCCATCCTCTGTGCACAATACCTATTTGCTGCTGAATAGGCAGGGAACGGGCTCCTTCTTTCTGTGTGTACACTGTACAAACAGGAAATTCCATGGGACAACTACAGCCAGAGGCTTTGCCCTCCTCCGCGTCTCAGTCGGTGGCATCGGGTTTCCGCAGCTGGCCTCTGCAACTGGATAGTTCTCAAAGCGGCCCCCCTGCTTGGATCTCTGCACTTCCTTGCATAAGCGAGTGGAGGAGTGGGGAATCTGCCCAGTTCTCCCAGATTAGAGTCCGCGCACTTAACCACAACACCAAAGGGACACATGGTGCCCACCCTTCTGCACATTGGGACCGTCATCTCAAAACTCCTATGGATTCAGAGCCTTCCAGCACTACCCACACGTTTTATTTATTTTGTGTGTGTGTGTGTATGTGTGTGTCTGCACCTGGAAGTCAAGTTCACCTCCGGTTTTTTTTTTAAGAAAATTGGGGAATTCCACGTTTACCCAGTTTCACCCGGTTTCAAGCCGGTAATGATCCATTTTGAAGTGAACCGGTATAGGGCTGCCATTTCACACATGGCTTTCCCCTTCCGGTAAAGAGGTGGATCTGAAACAGTTTGCCATTTCAGACCGCACCGCTTTTTCCCGCTTTTCCCCCGCCGTTTTTCACCCGTGCGGCCAATCTCCAACTTTTTTTTAAAAAAAGTTCGCTTTAGAGCGCTATAGCAGTATAACAAAACACTCCATGCATTCCAATGGGATTGATATAATACTATTCCGTTATAGCATTATAGCGCTATAACACTATAAAACGTTTTTAAAAAGCCGGAGATCGCGCATCTGAACTGGGAGAGGAAACTGAGGAGTACTTGGAAGCGGTTGACAGGTAAAACGCTTCAGCCCCGTTTCCTAAACGGGACAGAAGCGATTGTGTATGAAATGACAAATATATTCCGGAAGGGAACCGGTTCTCAAACGGTTCTGTCTGAAATGACAGACCAGAAACCGTTTGGGAACCGTTCCTCTTCCGGAATATATCGCCTGTCTGAAATTCCTCATTATCTTCCAGTGACTGTTAACAGCATAAAACAGGTACAATATGAGCTTAAGTCAACAAAACAGATAATGCAAATGAATAAAGTGTTGAATAAAGTGCACTGCATTAACTAACTTCAACTAGTGTTAAATAATCGTCTAAACTTTAGTTTATCTGTGTCATCTTGATGTTTAAGGTTCCATTTCATAAAAGGAGCCCATTTTTTCAATATATATGATTTATGTACCTGAGAATCATCACACTTTTAAATGACATCTGTAATCTTATCCACAATAAAATAATCCCATAGCTTCACATACCACACACACACACAAAACCTTTATTGGCATGAAAGCACAAAACATCATGGAAATACGGGAAAATACTAAGATGCATCAGTCACTGACACTTGGCTATTCAAGCCTCGTCTTCTGATTGCATAATATAAAAATTTTGCAACAGCCTCCATTATTTTGCCATTAGAATGAAACAGAAGAAAGTGAACAGTTGAGTCATCAGAGTGCCAGCTCTTACCCTCTAGAAGTGGAGTAATAAAACGAGATCGGATATCCCTGTAGAGGGGGCAATGAAGTATGGTGTGTGTAGTGGATTCTATGAGGAATTTCACATTACCCTTTTTAACCCGTTTTGAAGCCGTTTTTGATCCGTCGTGGAGTAAACCTGTATAGGGCTGCCATTTCACACATGGCTTTCCCCTTCCGGTAAAGAGCTGGATCTGAAGTGGTTTGCCATTTCAGACTGCACCGCTTTTTCCCTGCCATTTTTTGCCCGCACGGGCGATTTCCAGCTTTTTAAAAAACGTTTGCTTTAGAGCGCTAGAGCGCTATAACACAACACTCCAGGCATTCCAATGGGGTTGATATAATGCTGTTGCATTATACCGTTATAGCGCTATAAAGTGAACGTTCCCCCCCAAAAAAAGTCGGAGATCGCCCACGCGGGTGAAAAACGGCGGGGAAAAAGCGCATCGGAACCGGGAGAGGAAACTGAAGACTACTTGGAAGCGGTTGACAGGTAAAACGCTTCTGTCCCATTTCCTAAATGGGACAGAAGCATTTGTGTATGAAATTACAAATATATTCCGGTAGGGAACCGGTTCTAAAACGGTTCTGTCTGAAATGACAGACCAGAAACCGTTTGGGAACCGTTCCTCTTCCGGATTATATCGCCTGTCTGAAATTCCTCTATATCTTTTAGAGAGCAAGGACAAAGTCTGTCTACATATGGTATCTGGCACCTCCCTAAAAGCACCTCTGGCTTCATATACCAAGAATGCACTGTAGGTGGCTGAATAAAGCCTGCTCCCGCCTCTGGTATTCCAAGGAGGTCTCCCATCCAAGTACGAACCACAGTCGACCCTGCTTCGCTTCCAAGATCTGACGAGATCGGGCTTGCCTGGGCTATCCAGGTCAGGGCGGCCCACACATTTTAGAGGCTGTCTTTGCTGCTTCGAGGACTAGAAGCTTTTTAAAAACGATTAAATGAAAGCATGCGGATTTTAGGACGCTTCACCCGGCGGCCGAGGCTGTATCCTGCAGTTTCCACAGAGCTACACAGCCCGATTTGTGGCCGTTTGATCATCACTTGAGGATGCAACGTTCCTAACTGTCCAGACCCTGAATTTTTAATCCTGTAACTGCTGTCTGACCCTCCTTTCCTCCCGTCCCTCTTGCCTCTCCCCCGTAGGGCGCTCACCAAGAACCTCTTCAACCCTCAGTTCGGGAGCATCTTCCGCACGTGCCACAACCCCACGTACTTCTCCCGCCGCCTGTGCCGCTTCTCGGACGTCTACATGGCCTCGCTCAGCTGCCTGCTGAATAACTACACCTTCTACCCGAGACCCACCCCACTGCAGCATGAGGCCCCCCTCTGGATGGACCAGCTCTGCACCGGCTGCATGAAGACGCCCTTCCTTGAAGAAATGGCGCACATCCGCTAGGGGCCGAGGGGAGGTGATGGGGGGCCGTGCCCCTCGGCTCCGGGATCCCTACGGCAGCCGTGGGCTGGTTACGGCCAAGCTAACTGACATTAGGAATCCTGTCGGTCCACCGACGTGTTTTTCCATTTGCAAAAAAACCCAAAACCCGAGTGCGTACAAGGAGTTGTCGAGGCGTGGTGGATCAGTGCTAAATCATGCCGAGTGTGTGTTTCAGAAGCGCCCGGCTGGATCGGATTAAAGGCCTTCTAGTTCAGGGGTCCCCAACCTTTTTCAGCCTGCAGGCACCTTTGGAATTCTGTTGCCGACATAACTTGGCAGGCACAACCACAAAACATCAGGGAGTGAGGTCATGCCTAGCCAGTTTGGTGTAGTGGTTAGGAGCATGGTTTGATTCCCCACTCCTCCACATGCAGCTGCTGGTGTGACCTTGGGTCAGTCACAAGTTCTGTCAGAGCTGTTCTCTCAGGAGCAGTCCTCGAGAGAGCTCTCTCAGCCCCCACCTGCCTCACAGGGTGTCTGTTGTGGGGAGGGGAAGGGAAAGGAAATTGTAAATCGCTCTGAGACTCTTCTGGGTAGTGAAGGGTGGGGTATAAATCCAATGTCCTCTGCTTCCTCCTCTAATAATACACCTCTTCAACTTTTCAGGCAGGAGCTGTGTTTAACAGGATGCCTTTTAAAATTAAAATGTTTTCTGGCAATAAGCCGATGAAGATCCTCGTGTTGTGGTAAGCAGCTCCTACCGAGTGAGGCTTCCAGTGGCCAATCAGAAACTCTGGTGGGCAAAAACCGCCTCTGGCCTTGCCCACTTTCTAAAAATGCTTGGCAGCTGCTAGGAAAGGTGTTGGCAGGTGCTGTGGCGCCCACGGGCACCGTGTTGGGGACCCCTGTTCTAGTCTAGAATTCCTTACGAGGATCTCGGCAACCGGCCAGCTCTGTCGTTCAGTGGAGATCCACTAGTGTGCTACAGTCCACAGGCTGCTGTGCCTTGCCCTAGCAAGTTGGGAATGCAGTTTACTTAAATCAATGCGCACAGCTTTCTTCGCACAAAGACATTCAGCATCTGACAAGGGGGGGGGAGAGCTTTAGGGGGCTTTTTTCCCTTCTCACTTCCCCCTACAAGATTCTCAGCTCCTTCCTCTGAGAACTCTGCCACATAGATGTCGCTATAGCGCGTGACGTTTACATTCCCCCCACCCCAGTGGGTGGGCTCTGTTTGCAACAATGGGGGTACAGGTACTATTATGGGGGGGCAGCGTGGGTGGGAACGATCCTGCTTCCTAGTGAAGTCATAGGAGCAGATGGTGCTAAGGGAGGGAGGGCGGGAGGGGATGTTGTTAGCCGATAACTGGAGTATTGTCATTTTAATAAAGATTTATTGTGAAAGCAGCTCTTGATGTGTTTATCAGAGAATGGGGAACCGGTGAGTTTTGGTTAGTAAAGGTAAAGGTTCCCTTGCTCGAGAGCCAGCGCTGTCCGAAGACGTTTCCGTGGTCATGTGGCCGGCATGACTAAACACCAAGGTGCACGGAACGCTGTTACCTTCCCACCGAAGTGGTACCTATTTATCTACTTGCAATTTCTTGCTTTCGAACTGCTAGGTGGGCAGGAGCTGGAACTAGAGACGGGAGCTCACTCCGTCTTGTGGCACCCAGGTCTCGAACTGCTGAACTACTGACTTTCCACAGCCTGCAGTTCAGTGTTTTGGTTACCAAAGACCTTTCCACTGATCTATGAGCGGAGAGGCGATGGGCTTGAATTGAGTGATTAACACGTGGAATTCACTGCCACAGGAGGTGGCGGCGGCTACAAGCATGGACGGCTTCAAGACGGAATTAGATAAGCATATGGAGCAGAAGTCCATCAGTGGCTATTAGCCACAAGGTCTAGATAGGAACTCTCAGTCTGGGGCAAGAGATGCTCTGTATTCTTGGTGCTGGTGGGGGCAACAGTGGGAGGGCTTCTGGTGTCCTGGCCCCACTGCTGGACCTCCTGAGGGCACCTGGTATTTTTGGCCACTGTGTGACAGAGTGTTGGACTGGATGGGCCATTGGCCTGATCCCACACGGGCTTTTCTTATGGTCTTACTTTGGGCCACAGGAAACGAAATCTTGGTGGCCTGCATCAGTTGTGTGTTTGCAGGAATTCTGCACGATTTATTTCCTTTGTGCCATGGAAACCACTGAGCCCTGGCCACGGAACATCTGTTCAGCATAGTCTAAGATGAGTTAGTGTGAGCTAGCTCAGTATTTTAGCCTCCGGCTCACACATCTTTGTCTCGGAGCAGGAAGGATGGCTCCAGAGCAAAGTAATTTATGCAGCAGCCAAATGGCTCGCTCACAGCTTTAATGCCAGTTGCTCACCAAGTAGATTTTTTGCTTACAAGACTCCACGGCTTAGAGGGAACATTGGTTGCTAGCTCCAGGCTGCGAAATTCTTGGGAGATTTGGGGGGAGGGGGAGGAGCCTGGGAGGAGAGGGGAGGCACCTCGGCAGGGTATAATGCCATAATGTCCATCCTCCGAAGCAGCCATTTTCTCCAGGGGAACTGATCTCTGTAGTCCAGAGATTAGTTGTAATTCTGGGAGATCTGCAGGCCTCACCTGGAGGTTGGCAACCTAGTTCAGGAACTTCCTTTTGAGATTTCAGCAGGGATTGTTCCCCTCTTTTTGGGGAAAAGCACCCACATGCACCGTCGTTATGCAGCAACAGTGAGTGTTCTGACTGTTGCGCTATATCACAGCTGTTCGCTGGTGAGTTGCCATCAGGTGGCTGTGTCTACATTTTGCAAACCATTCGCGTACCAGGGGTGATGGTAGGCTGCTGGTATTTCATGTAATGCAAAGTCTGTGCTCCCCTCAAAAAGAGTCCACATTTATTGATATTATGTAATATCCAACAGAGAGGGAAGATGGTATGGTGTAGCCTGATCTCATTAGATTTCAGAAGCTAAGCAGGGTCGGTACTTGGATAGGAGACCACCGAGGAAGGCTCTGCAGAGGAAGGCAAGGGCAAGCCACCTCTGCTTCTCACTGGCCTTGAAAGCCCCTTGCTGGGGTCGCCAGACGTTGGAAGCGAAGCAGGGTCGGTACTTGGATAGGAGACCACCAAGGAAGGCTCTGCAGAGGAAGGCAAGGGCAAGCCACCTCTGCTTCTCACTGGCCTTGAAAGCCCCTTGCTGGGGTCACCAGACGTTGGAAGCTAAGCAGGGTCGGTACTTGGATAGGAGACCACCGAGGAAGGCTCTGCAGAGGAAGGCAAGGGCAAGCCACCTCTGCTTCTCACTGGCCTTGAAAGCCCCTTGCTGGGGTCACCAGACGTTGGAAGCTAAGCAGGGTCGGTACTTGGATAGGAG